CAACGTCTCATGTTCCCCGGCTTTTTCTAAAGCCAGCCTGAACATCTGGCATCTTCTTTTTCATGTAAGGCTCTAATCTGCATTGGATGATTGTAAGCATTATTTTGCTAGCATGTGAAATTAAGGATATTGTGAGATAGTTTGCACATTCTGTTATACCTTTTTTTTTTCTTTTTGGTATTGGAATGTGGATCAACCTCTTCCCATCTGTTAGCCACTGGGTAATTCTTCAGATTTTCTGGCATCACTTAATTAGGATCTGTACAGATTCTGTTCGTTTTCATATTTCTGTGGATATCCCATCAGTTCCTCTAGCTGTCCAGCAATGAGAATGCTGATCTGACTTCATTTTCTAGTACTACAAGTTCTTGTAAATAGGTAAAATCTTCTAAGGTATACAATATAGGGTGTTGACTTCTCTAATCTATAGTAGAGTTGACTTCTCTAATTTATAGCATAGTATAGTATAATATTTCCTTTCATTTTTATTTGATATTTTTGAATCTGTCCATTCATTGGTGTCCTGTATTCCAAACTGGAATTTCTTTTTGAGTTCAGAGATCTTTTGGAAAACATTCCTTGTTTTTCCATGCCTGTTCCCATCTTCAAATCCTTGTAGATGTTGTTGTAATACTGCTTCTTCTCTTTTTTAACAACTCTGTGAAATTCTGTGTGAAGATTCTTCTTGAGGTTTTTGTTTTATCTGGCTTTGGTTTCTCTAATCAAATTCCAGTTTGTTCTGACATCTAGTTTGCTTTCTTCTCTTTTATCTTTGGCAACTTCTTCACATTCATTCTTAATGACTTCCTTAAATTCATCCCACAGTTCCTCTGGTTCTCCATTAATGAAGTTCAAGACTTCAAAGCAATTCTTGATGTTGTCCTTGAAAATAGTGGATATATGGGATAACCTTCACACCTTAGGTGCCCCTGTTTGGGATACTTTGATATCCTTCTGGGTTCTTCCCTCATTCTTCCCAGGAACACTCCCATCACAGTGACACAATACACAAAAGACTTTGGGTGGGTGGGTGGGATGGGGGTAAACATGCATACTTAATTTTATTGGCAGTCCTCGTGACTATTAGAAACTAGGATGATCCCAAAATGACTTAATGTCAAAATGAAGCAATTTCCATCATGATAGATTTCATTTACCCTCATCTCCTTCCTCCCCAGAAGACACATGACTTCATGCATGTTTACTGAATAGAACATTGGACTCCAATACAAAGAGAACATCTTGTTCCACATGATCAGGTACTAGGTTCAGTTGGACACATTTGAGTCAACAGAAAACAGGCAGGTGTTGGGAAAGAAACATTTATGGAGAAACTACTACTACTACTACAACTACAACTACTACTAATTTGCAGCCCACTTCATGATTCAAGGTAACTAATTAGATAAAACTTTGTTGGATGGATAAACACCATTCCTGATATCTTCCTAAAATTGTAATGTGAGGTTAGTTCCAGAGATACTTGTAAGTCAAAAGACTATCCACCTTCCATTGTGTTGCCACAAACCAATGTTATTATCAACTGGCCATCCTCATTACCAATCCCTACTCTGTCCCTCTTGTGACTCCTTACTGAATCCTATTGTCATGATTTATGTGTATGCCAGGTGTTACAGGCAAAATGATTGGTTTTCTCCACTGGGTTTGCTGCCCTTCTCCCTAAGCATATTACTACTAATGGGAAAATGTCCACCAATTGGATTACTGCAGCATGAGTAAGTGGAGCTGTTGTTATGCAATTCTATAAGTTTTAAAAATCTTCATGGCAGTTTTTTTCTGTTCCTCTTGCCATACCCATTTGAGTTTCTCAGAAATTCCAGAGAATGTGAAGAAAAGAAACTAGGGAAATATGTTTCCCAATCATCTAAAATGAAAAGTATAATTAGAAACCCTAGAGTAGAAATAGCCCCTCTAAGAAGGTACACAAACCTTCCATGATTGTGCATCTATCCATGTCATTTAGAACCATAGAACTGATCTTGATAAGATGAGATGACACAGGGCCATCCTTCTCAACATTTCCAAAACAACTCTGGACATCCCAGCAACAAGTTAGCTATTAAACATCCAAATATTGTTATGGAATATAACAAGTCAATATGGAATATAAAGTCAATTGACTTTATATACCTCGAATCTGTGGTGGATAACGAAGATTTAGTTTGGGGGAAACCAAACTACCTATATTATAGTACATTAAGTGACCACATAAGGCTGTTTTCACTTATTGACTGGAGATGAGCCAACCTCATTAAGAGATAAGACTGAAAATATTAGGGAATAATACTGAGGTTATGAATTAAAGTAGGGATGGGTCTTTGAATAAATCTCCTGAAGATAAGTTTTAAGATAAACATAACTTACTTAAATATGGCCTCAAGGTCTGAAATCAGCCTGTTCCAAATATAAACCAGATTTCTTCTTTCCACCCATGTTAAAGTGCTTGAGCTGGCAGAGAACTACAGAAGCATAAAATATGCTGTTCCCACAGGCAATTACTATCCTCCCATCGGCATGATACCAACAAATGGTGCTTTCCTTATTTATGGTGTACAGGACTAATTAAAGATAGGCATTTCTGGATATCCCTGGCTATCTTTCTCCTCCTACTGAACATCAATTGGCTGGAAAACACCCACCAACCACTCTCTTGGCTAGTTGGCCATCTGCCAAAAATTGTTCTGTTTTTACACATGTGTTTTGTGCAGGTACATTCGAAGATAACTTGCCAGCAGAAGCTGCAGAATAATACTCTTTTGGAATAGTTCTGAGCCCATGTCTAAAAGCAGCCTAAACTACAACTGTTGGGCATGAAAAGTGCTGTGAAGTAGCAGAGAGAAAGCTCTGAGGGTCCCTCTTCCACTTCACTGTGCAGCTATTTTCACTATTACAACTATGTCTGGTCCACTGGCAGACATACTGGAAGTAGCCAATTTGAAATAATTCCCCCACTGCCCACAGTGGAGCGGCTCTGGAAGACCATTTCTCAAGGACACCAGAGGAGGAAGAATGTTCACACCACTCCTAGGTGACCAGTAAGTTCAGAATCGATTCCATCCATAGGAAGTCATCTAATGATGACCCTGACCAAATGGGTCCTGAAATGTGTTAAGAAGCCTTAGTCCTGTGAAAAATGTAGCAATCTGTTCCTTAAAAGGGAAGCAATACTGCATCCAATTTTGGTCACCACACTATAAAAAAGATGTTGAGACTGTAGAAAGAGTAACCAAGATGATTAGCAACCAGAGAAGAGCAACCAAGATGATTAGGGGACTGGAGGCTAAAACATACAATGAACGGTTGCGGGAACTGGGCATGGCTAGTCTAATGAAGAGAAGGATCAGGGTAGACATGATAGCAGTGTTCCAATATCTGAAGGGCTGCCACAGAGAGGAGGGGATCAAGCTATTTTCCAAAGCACCTGAAGGCCAGACAAGGAATAATGGATGGAAACTGAACAAGGAGAGATTCAACCTGGAAATAAGGATAAATTTTCTGACAGTGAGAGCAAACAACCAATGGAACAACTTGCCTTCAGAAGTTGTGGGAGCTTCATCACTGGAAGCTTTCAAGAAGAGACTGGACTGCCATCTATCAGAAATGATGTAGGGTCCCCTGCTTGGGTGGGTTGGACTAGATGAGGGGTCTCCAACCTTGGCAACGATACAACTTCTGGACTTCAACTCCCAGAATTCCTCAGCCAGCACGTGCTGGCTGAGGAATTCTGGGAATTGAAGTCTACAAGTCATAAAAAATTGGCAAGGTTGGAGACCCCTGGACTAGATGACTTAGGTCCCTTCCAACTCTGTTAATGTATAATCGGCTCAAGATGAGTTGAAGCTGCCTCAGATATAGTTTATGGATGTGATGAAGGAAACATCATGAGACAAAACAAAACGATAGAGGGACATACCATGGCCGAGACAGTGCAGGGTGTGAGAATTTGGCTCCATGGATGTCTCTAAGCACACCCAGTACTGCGGGTGATGTGCATATGTACGCATGGAGAAAGAGGGAGTGTGGAAGAGATCATTCGTTTAGAACACAACCCACGAAGTGCCAGTTTCAGAGGAGTCCCCATGGAAACTGGGAAGACCACAAGACGAGCACAAAAGGTTTATGAAACTAAAACAGAAGCATCAGCTTGCCAGGGTCTACTTTCTGGCTTCAGTGAAAAGTCAGCTTCTGGTTCGCTCCGGAATCTGATTACCCAGCCTTCTTCTTCTTCTTCTTCTTTTTTTTTTTGGAAAATGTGAAACTGTCAGATGCACCTCGAAGTGATAAAAGTCTCCCCCCCCCAACATCTCCTTGCAAACTTTTAGTCGCGCTACCTTCCTCGGGATGGGAAAGTAGGAGGGAGAAATTAGGATGCGAGCCTTTAGCGCCGCGCGCCGCTTCTGAAATTCGGCGCCGAGAGTTCGGAACGAGCAGCGAAACCATACATTCGGGACGCTTTTCCCGGCCCCTTTGGGGAGCTTTGGATCTAGAACAGCCCCCCACTCCTGTGTTCCTCATGAGCCCTTTGCACCGATCATCTCGCCACAGGTAGTCCGTAGGGAATCCCGCGGCGCTCTCCGAGTAGGGAGGGCAGGCGTGAGACCGCGCGCGCTTGTTCGCTTTGGGTACTTGGCACGGACCAGGTTTTTTCCTCATCGACGGCTACCGCGGAGCCGGGTGGAGGAGCAGAGCCGGGCGACCTTAAAGGAAAGGTCTTATCCTAGAACAGCCCGGTACGTGAAAAAGAAAGGGGCTTCCTTCCCGCAACTGGAAGCAAAGGTCGCCCTGGCGCCGGCCGCTCGCTCGCTCCCTCCCATTTCTGGCTCGCTCTCCCGGAGCGGATGAAGGAGACACGGGAGGGGGCGGGGGGCGGGAGAGGGGGTGGGCCTCTGCAGCAGGGGGTCTCTCCTGGTTGGGCCCTCGTGCGCCGCCTGTCACTGGGCGGCGTGTATGTCGGCGGCCTGGCCCCGCCTCGCCTCTTCGCAGCCCGCGGCGCGGACAGAGATGACACAGAGCCTCGGTGGCTACAGCTGCCTTGAGCCGCGGCTCTTCGCTCCTCTGCCGTCCTGAGGCCGGGTGGGCGCGAGGGCGAGTCTCTTGGCATCACCCGCGAGGAGGAGGAGGAGGAGGAGGAGGGGAAAGAGGGAAGGAGGGAGGGAACGGCGGCGGCGGCGGCGCTGCTGCCGCCGCTTTCACTCGGTTTCCCCGCAAGCGAGAGAGGCTACCCAGGGCAGTAAGCAGGCTTGCTAAGCGCCGCCCGGGAGCCCGCCTTCCCCTGTGGAGAGGGGGCCGCTCGGCTGCTGGCATGGTGGCATTTGGACCGGCGGCGGGGCGCTGCTGAGAAAAAGCCCAGCCGGCGACCAAGAGAGTGAAGGAGTGAGTGAAGCCGAGGCAGCAGCCCCAAGCGCAGCGCGGCTCCCCAGGCCGGGCCGCCACCTCTTCCTCTTTAGTCGCCCGCGGTCTTCTCGGGGGGCTTTCCCCGCCAACCTCGCCAAACCACAGCCGGGCCTGGCGTTCCCCGCAAGGCGTGCCTGCAGGCCCCGGGGAGGCCGCGGCGGAGCTTGGCAGACCCGCCTCTGCCCCGGCCACCTCGGGGTCCCGCGGGCCGACGCCGGCGGGGGCCTCGGTGCGGCTCGGGGAGGGGCGCGCGGCCGGCTCTAGGGAGTTGCCTCCCCCAGGCAGCATGGAGAAAGACGGAGCGGGCAGGCCCTGAAGAGGCAGCCGGGGAGAGGGGGGTGCCTGATTCTGCCAAGTCTTCTTCCTCCCCGCTTCCCACCCCCACCCCCCCAGTTCCGCTGATCTCACCCAAATTGGGCCGACCGGAGCTTCCCCAGCCTGGGACCGCTGGAGGGACCCCGCAGCGCCGGGCTCACTTGGAGCGGAGCCTTGTTTTCTGTGGCAGCTCCCCCTCCCCGCTTCGCAGCGTCTCCAGCGAATTAAAGCCGGACCAGGACGAGGGGCTTGCCCCCTGCTCGCCCGGCGAGTTCCTACGGCGGAGCAAAACAACCACCCGGTTTAGAAAAGGCCAGTGTCACCCGGGGATCCCCCACTGGCAAAGACTTGAGAGCTTTCCGCGGCGGCAGCAGCAGCGGCAGCAACCACAGAGAAGGTAAAGGGTTGCTCAGGGCTTGGGCGGTGATGCTCGATCGGCTTGGCGTTGCTTTGTGGTGAAGGAGGAAAAGGGGAGCGCTTTTTCTCTCCCCCCCCCGATTCTTTGTTTTTTGCCCCCCTCCCTTTAAAATTCTCGCGCACTCCGATCCGATCCCGCACAATATTTCTGTAGAAGGAGATGTGCTTTCTATGCACTCCCTCTCTCCAAGGGTCTGGTAGAATTGTAGCTTTAAGGCTGATGCTCTGTTGAAGGGATCCAAAATAAAGTGGTTTATTGTACCTATAACATTGAGGAACGCACTGCATCCTTGGGAATAAGTATCCCAAATCTGAATGGATCTGCACAGGATCAGAGCAACTGCAAAACGTTCACTAGTAGAGGATGTACCTTTTTTCAGTAGCTGACAAAGAAACCCTAGATTTTATTTGGAACTTAAGGCACTTGTGTTAAGATTGAAATTCCTCCGTAGAAAAAGTAACTTTTGACTGCTTTTCACTTTTTTTTTTTTAAAAAAAAATGTTGTTTCTGGATCTGGGACTTTAAAAAGTTGGGAGAAATGTCACTTGTTACCTGTCATTGAAAAGATTGTTTCAGGAGACTTTGTAAGTGAAGAAGTTGGGCGAAGTGGACTTTTTTCCCCCCCATAATACTTGGATATTCTGGAAGTGTTCACCCTGAACACAAAAGATTTCAACTTATTAGTGAGACTTTAAATCTCACTGACCTCAATCAGATATTTTCACTGTAGAGTCCAGACTGCATGACAGCATGGCGGGGGAGAGGTAGGGGGGGAGTGTTAGAATCCTATTAGTATCACTATTGCATTATATGCCACTTTTATAAAAAGTGATTAGAAGGTGGAATAGCGAAGAGGAACATGTTTACAATTAGAGTAGAAATTCCTGTTAATCTCAGTATTTATACAAATACGTAATTTTTGAGCCAGTTTCTTAATATGAGAGAAGGTGAAACATGTCTTAGGCATTGAGAAAAAAGAGAAATTTGCCCTAAAATAAAGATACAGATGAAGCCGATGAAGATTTAGAAACAAATGTGCAGTTTGTCCATAAACATGGGCATCCTTAACTAAGCATCAGTTTGCCAAATGAGGCATACATTTTTAATAATTTATTATGTTAACTGTAATTGGAAGAATTATCTGTGATCTGCAGAAATACTAATACATGTAATAAAATATCCAGTGGACAGCTTTGATTAACTTGAAAGCTTTCCTTTTACATCAGAATTATATTCTACCCTTTGTTTAAAATGGCACAGCTAGCAAAAGACCTTCTTCTTTATCTACAGATAATTGCTGGTGTATCCACACCTGAAGGTATGTTAATTAGCATGCTAGAAAGGTCACTTCAACATTTCCACAAGCAAGCTTTCTGGCTGCTTTGACTTAAGCGATTACATTCAATAAAGAGCTGTCACATTATCAGCTGTGTCCACTTCTTTTCCAGGATGAATGGGCAGTAAACATTTTTCAGTCTTCTCTGAATTTATTAAAGCCAGTCTCCTCCCTTAATAGACAATGTGGTTAAATGGGATCTTTTCAAGGAATGGATTGCTTTCAACTCATTAAGTACAATGTTAGATGACTATTTAATTGAAAAAAGGGGGGGGGTATTATACACTGCTTACATTTCTGCAACAGATTTTTGTTGTTACACTGTCTATGTATTGTATCATTTAATTCATTAAGTTCGTTTCCCTGGGGAACAAATAAACAATGTATTGACTCTGTAGAGGTAACATGAAGTTTGTCAAGGCTTTCTTTAAGTATTGCTATAAATATTCCTAATTTATAGTCTGCATTCCACATCTATCTGATATAGACCTCTTTTGGCTGTGTAAAATATTTCTTAATGAAGACTCTTTTTGTATTATCATTAAAGACAGCAAGTAAAGGTTTTTGTCATAGTTGACTGATTCTGGAGGCATAGGTGAAAATGTTTTAATTAAACAGCTGTAAAATCTTGAGCAGTTAGCCCTGAATTTCTCTTTTCATATTATTCTTTGCCTTATGTGCTTAGAATGGAATATGATAGACAAAGCTAGATGCTAAGATGTAAAATCATTAACTTAGCATGCTAAGCAGTGTTGCATAACTATAGTATACTTTTAATATAATGAGCTAACTTTTTAAAATGTATTTCACTTTGTTCACCAAATAAAATAACTCAAGAGTTATTGAGTGACTCTTAAGTCTGATCTTAAGTAAACTCACTTTGCATAAATTCAGCTAGATTAATGAATTTGCTATGAGATAAATATGTGGGAATTGTGTTGTTTTGCCTTGACCATCTTGAGATTTGAATTCAGTGTGCCAAGTTAGAGTGGTATACGATTTGCAGTGTTGTAGGCAAATGATATGGGCATTTTGGACTGGAGAGCTATTATTCAATTTTTATCTTAAATATTGGAAGTAGAGCTGGGAAGAATCCAACAAGAACACAAATGAACACAAATTCTAAAGGATTCTCTAGCAATATTTGGAAATTTTCAAGTTGTCAGTGCTTTCTAATAGAATATTTATAGACTTCGTTTTCTCAAACTTTGTGGGAAAGAAAACTGAAGTGACCACCGGGATTTTCAGATAAGTCTTTAAATCAGGATTGATTTGTAAGCAGATAAATAGAGATTGTCTCCCTGGCCTTGATTCCAATTATGAGTTCTCTTAGGCTTCCATTTAATTTTAGTAAAATTAAGAGGTTTGAGTAATTATTTCAGGATGTAGTTATATGGCAATGGAAATGCTAAATTAAATGTGTTAGTGAGTGTGAATGTGATGGTAATTCAGATCAAGTACAAGGAGTTATGCACTGTACTCTCTGGAATCTTAGTATATTAGCTGTTAAAGATAATGATGACCCTTTTAGCTAAGAGGACATGCATCTGAATAAGATGAATGATAAATCACTCTGTACTCAAAATGTCATATAAATTACTCTTTATCATCTTTGTACCTAAGAAATACAGAAACTTTAATAAATGAACCAAAGGATGCTTACTTTTCCCCTGTAGTTTCAAGAAGCACCTGGGAGTACGCCATTGGAATAACATTTTAATTTTATATAGCAATAGTGCTGAGTAAATTGCTATTTGTATTCTTCAATCTTCTATTCAGCAATATATTAGAACAATTACTATTGTTGCTATTCTTGGCCTCTCCCAGTACATTGGAAATCTAGTAAGTAACTACAATGAGCCCAAAGTTTAATAAAATTGATAGAAAAATCTAACTTAAAATTAAGTAAGTTCAGGAATTCCTACCACCTTGACTTTTTTTTGGGGGGGGGGTTACTTATGGGATCACAACTTTGGTTACTTATGGGATCATTAAGGCTTAAATGATCACATTAAATAAGGCTTAAAGGGCAGGTAAAAATCTGCAGTGGCTGCATAGTCATTGATAGGTAATTGACTTGGCAGCTTTGCGGTTGAAGGTGCACAAGTTATGCCATCTATATTAAGGCTAGTGCATTTCCCCCCATTTTTTTTCTTCCTGAGTCCTGCCTAGAATCATTATTTTGGCTGAATGTCTTGGCTGATGTCATGCATTAGCAGTTTTCCCCCCTTCTATTCAATCGTCTGATTCTTGGAGACTGTCTGGACAAATCTCTACAATTTTCTTGGCAAAGTTTTTTTTAAAGGTGGCTCACCATTCCTTCCTTCCCTAGGGCAGAGAGAAAGTGACCGGCCCAAGGTTACCAGCAAGCTTTGTGCCCAAGTCGGCACTGGAACTCAAGAGCTTTCTGGTTTCTAGTCTGATGCCTTAACCACTACACCATACTGGCTTTCTGATTAGCAAATACTTAAAATAGCTATACTTTGGGAATGCACTGGAATATACTTGAATATGTACTAATATTAGTAGTGCTAGAAGGTAAAACTAATAGCTAAGAAAATGGCAGATATCCTGTCTGTTTTTAAAAAAAATAATATATATGTTAGATTTGAAATTTCATTATACAGAAATTTAATAATCCTTTTAGATGTTGAAGGAGTATACATGAAAGAGAACTGGAATAGGGCTGAATACTAGAATGCTAGGTACTCTGTATGCAAGCTATTGAACTTTATTGGAATTCTAAAATTTCTCTAAATACAATGTTGACCAGACTAACATGGAATTTACAAATGTACTAGAGGGATTGAAACATACATACATACATACATACATACATACATACATACATACATACATACATACATATGTCTCTGTGTGTATGTGTGTGTTTGATAATAAGTGATTATTATTAGAACATTACACGTAGGAAAAGTAATTTTCTTCATAAATAAATTGTGTTGGTGCCCAGAACTATCTCTTCTGTGAGTTTTATTCAGCATCTGTTACTTTGTGTGTCTCTTGTGGAAATGAAATGTTCTTATGTATTCTGCAGCAATGCACAGTGCTACAAATTTGCCTAATCATCTGAGCATTTCTTGTTACACAGATATCTATGTTCTTACAATATGGAAATAGAAGTATTTCCATATTAGCTGTCAAAATCCAATTTTGATAATTGTCCTTTTTAGTTATGTATCTTGGAGCCCAGATATTGGGCTAAATTGATACTAGACAAGAGTGGCCATAAAATGATTCGTTTAATTGGCTATGTTAGTATTCTTGAAACCATAATGCTTATAGTTTTTTTCAACAAAAAATGCGTTCACATTAAATACATTATGTGTGAATTCAGGTGGTAGAAAAAGACTGATGGATAATTTGGGATGGAGGATTAATTCCCTGATTACAAACTTTGACTCTGTACAAGGATCATAAACTATAAACTAAAGTTTAGGTTTAAAATGTTTCATTGAGGCTAATATTTTTAAATTGAAGTAGCTGTACTTCATTTTTAGGTAAGGGAAAATTTTGTTTTGTGTTCTACTAAATTGTGTCTAGGATGCATCCATAGAATATATAAACATTGAGGTCACTTTTGTACTTAACAGTGCATTTTAGACGCCATTGTTTCTAAAGAAGA